AGATCTCTCATATAACAATAAACAAAACAAAAGGTTAACAGCGACTTTTTGCCCATTTCCTTTTTTAAGCTGAACAAAAAAACACATTTCGTTGATCCACAATGAACAATTATTCTACAAGCGATTAACTTAGTCAACACCAGCCAGTCTGCCACAAAATACATACAACATTTCATTACCACAGTGCCAGTGATAGGCGACAAATTTTTTAGCTCACTCAGTCACTCTCCGATTTATAATTTCTACTGTTCTAAACGAATCCCTTTTTTAGCACCAGTCTTTATTATTTTGTTTAATTTTATGAAAACATTAAACAGAAAAAGTAATGAGAATCTTGGATAGAATAAAAAACAAAAGGATTACACTCGAAAAATTAAAGGCTTTCCAGGATAACACTATAAGTTTAGAAAAAGTGAATCAGGTTAAAGATGTTAAAATTCATAGTGTTGAAATCTTGACACTGCTTAACTCACATGTTTAATTCAAACTTTAGATAATAATGATTATTTAAACTATGTTGACTATTGATATAACTATCTCATGATCAGAAAACTACATCAGACCTTTCGCCTTAAATGATTACGAATCAAATTTTCTGAGATTAACTCATTCAACCAAAACACACAAAACAAACGAAATGTTGTTGATGTTGTCTTTTATTTGTAATAATTTTTTTATATAACATTTTATCCTTTTTGTCTTTTACTTGTGTCTATGTTAATGTACTTGTTCTTCTGTTAGTTGTTGTCCTTTTGAAAAAGGATTCTACAGTAATATTTTATACTTGTTGCTGTCATGACTACTTTATTGTTTTATTCACAAACGTTTAAAGTTTTTGTGTTTTATTCTCGTTTTTTTTTTTTTTCACCGCAAAGATAACAAAGATGTGGCTTAACAAAGCCATTCATTCATACAGTTGTGCTGCTAATCTCTATTTTAATAATGTGATAATCTAGTGTATAACTCTATTAGTAAGTAATTGTGAAAACAATTTAAATATATAACATCCGTTCTATTCATGTGAAGAAAGTTAATTGTAAAGTTAAATCCGGTTGTTTTTTTATATTCTATGTAGAAAAATAATGCAGGGTAAATTGGCGTCGTTATTAAATTTGTAATATATCAAAATATTGGTCATAGACGTGCAGAAGTATGTATTTATATTTTGGATCGTGTGAGATTCTCGGAATACAATTTAATAAGTCATAAATTGGTTAATTATGCATTAATCGATTGTTGTAACTATTCGGATATTATACTGTTCTGAAATTATATTGAAAATCGTATAACATTTTTACCCTAGCCCCCCATATAATTATAAATTTCGCTATATGTTAATTAGCTGCATAACAACAATAATTATTTTACCTAATTTGGCCCATTTTTGGATCTAGACTGATATATAGGACCCCAAGACTATATACTGTCACCTTACATTGTGACTTAAATGTTTTGAAGACTCAAATTTTTCACTAGATGTATCATAATTTAAATCAATTTCAAATTAAAAACTTATTTAAAAATGCTTTTGATTACTCAAATAGGTAATAGTACAGAACCAGAATAAAATATCATAAGTTCCACACATTCCAACAAAATCAAGTTTTGCAAAAACCAGATTTCTTTATTGCCAACAGTTTTCTACCAATATTTGTAATGTTGTATAAATATAATTGTGGCCTCCAGTAGGTTAGTGCTTTAGGTAGGCGGACAGGAAGTCGTGTGTTCGAAACCCACCTGAGGCACTGCTTTAAGTACTATATGGGCACTTTCGTGTGAAGTGGTCCTAGCAAAAATTGTCGAAGGAGTTCAGATAGCTATTTCTTCATAAAAATAATATTTTAACTTGAGGAGCAAACTTTTTGACTAACAAACTAACTAACTAACTAAGTAACTAACTAACTAACTAACTAACTAACTAACTAACTAACTAACTAACTAACTAACTAACTAACTAACTAACTAACTAACTAACTAACTAACTAACTAACTAACTAACTAACTAACTAACTAACTAACTAACTAACTAACTAACTAACTAACTAACTAACTAACTAACTAACTAACTAACTAACTAACTACTAACTAACTAACTAACTAACTAACTAACTAACTACTAACTAACTAACTAACTAACTAACTAACTAACTAACTAACTAACTAACTAACTAACTAACTAACTAACTAACTAACTAACTAACTAACTAACTAACTAACTAACTAACTAACTAACTAACTACTAACTAACTAACTAACTACTAACTAACTAACTAACTAACTAACTAACTAACTAACTAACTAACTAACTAACTAACTAACTAACTAACTAACTAACTAACTAACTAACTAACTAACTAACTAACTAACTAACTAACTAACTAACTACTAACTAACTAACTAACTAACTAACTAACTAACTAACTAACTAACTAACTAACTAACTAACTAACTAACTAACTAACTACTAACTAACTAACTAACTAACTAACTAACTAACTAACTAACTAACTAACTAACTAACTAACTAACTAACTAACTAACTAACTAACTACTAACTAACTACTAACTAACTAACTAACTAACTACTAACTAACTAACTAACTAACTACTAACTAACTAACTAACTACTAACTAACTAACTAACTAACTAACTAACTAACTAACTAACTAACTAACTAACTAACTAACTAACTAACTAACCTAACTAACTAACTAACAACTAAACTAACTACTAACTAACTAACTAACTAACTAACTTAGAGGAGCATAAGTAGTTATTAAGTAAAGATTTTATTGGATAGTGCTCCATTAAGAAGGCTTTAATCGTGATATTTCAATCAATAAAATCACTGACATCAACTATGGTTCAGACCACTAACTTCTTGTTTATAAGACATATGTTCTAAAACAAAATGCTACAAATCCTATTAAACAAATAATATAACCGATCACTCATTATCAAGTAATGTATAAAACAACTACATACATTCAGCCCTATTTTGCATTCCGATTACGTTTCCGTATTCAGTTACGCTACTATCGCAAAAAAGGAATCGTCAGCATAGAAGAAGCAATCCCTTTTTATTTCAATGCTTTACGATTGTTTGTATTCCGCATTACGATCGTATCTACGTTTTTGTAAGTTGTTACTTTAGTGACGGAGGTTCGAATCAAAATGAAGAATGCCAAAGTTGCCAAACGGAGAAAATTTCGATTCGAATTGAAATACATAATAGGTGTGATTACTTACATTACTCATTACCGAAATTTGATAAGTTTCTGCTGGGTATTATTTGGACTAAAAAGGTTATATTTAAAATACATAACAGTAAGGAAACTGCAAAATTTTCCCTGAAATTCGCAAAATTCATATCATATTTATCACTAACATTTTTACTTAAAAAAAAATGGGTCAAAATGTTATAAAAGGATATAATATATAATTTCAGACATTCCCTTCTTTACATAGCTACCCCACTGGAACCAATAACTGTTTGACCAACAGGATATACTGTTAGATCGTTTATTGTACAAGCGCTAAAGCTTAAAGGAAATGATTAGTTAGTTTTAGCTAAATGCTTAAAAGCTTTCTAACAAATTTTAGACACTGTCACGCCCACTTCCACGCCTTATAGTGTAAATTAAAGATTTCTTTCCTAGATACTTACTCTTAATTATAAACCACAACAATCTCTTAAAAGAGTTCAGCATACTTACGTGCATTTATAATCCATTCCATTACATACATATAAATATAAAAGATCAGAGTTTTTTTTTTTGTATCAGATATTTAACTGAAAAGTTTTATTCACATTTGAAATGTTTTTATTTTATTTTTTGTTGTTTTTTTTTTAATTTTATTTTTCTTCACATAATAATTATGAATTAAAGTTTTCATTATCTTTTATTCGTATAATACTAATGAAGGTTTTTTATATATTTATTTTATTTCTTTTTTTTATACTTTTTAATAAACAAAATAATTTTTTTTTTTGCCATTTATATTTTTTCAGTTTTCTTTATTTAATAATTAATTTTTTATTATTTAATATTTTTGTCTCTTTTTGTTTAAAAAATATGTTATTTTACTCGTATATCAATTATAATGTTTTAATTAAAAGTACTTGTGTGTGTGTGTGTGGGGAGGGATGTTAGGGGGTGGTGTAGGGAGTTCAAGTGTGTTGGTAATTGTTAAATAAAATATTTATTGTTTTACTATGCAATGCATAAGTTATTGTGGGGGAGGGAAGGGAAGTATTTGTGTGTAAAAATATGCATTTTAAGTGTTTTAATATTTTATAAAATGTAGACTTAAACTTAAATGAACCTAAATAAATCTTACAACTACAATTTGTACAATGTCTATTTACATTAAAAGTAACAAAAAATAACTAAAGTAAAGGTATACATAAAACTACTTAATAAAATCTCTAGACTCGTTAGAGGGGGGAGGGGGGTGGTTGTAAATATTGGCAATACTAAATAAAGTTAAAGTATCAGTTAAATGAAGTAATAGTTATGTAGTTTTATGTTTTAAAATGTGTTTTATGTTGTAAATGAATACATGAACTTGGAATATTTTCTTTCTTTTTTCTTTACATTGTGTAAATGTCATCATTAAGGCCGAAAAGTTGCTTTGAATTTGTCACATTTACTGATTTGTTTGATCAAACCCCATTAATGGGTAAGCAAATTATTAAAAGTTTAAAACCAAATCAGTTTTTAAAGGAATATTTAAAGATTATATGTTTGTATGTAAAACTAGAAATTAAAATAAATTTACATATACAGATAATGCTAAGTTTAAAACCTATTTGTGTGTAGGTGTATAGGAGTAGTTGGTGTATGTATGTATGTATATGTTTAGGTATGTGTATTATATAGTTTATATATATAGGTTTATTTTAAACTGAACTTAACCTACCAACGTTGGGGATAAATAGCAGTCATTATGTTTGAAAAACATTTAATTTTTTTTTTTCTAATTCATATTTTTTTTACTTCTAATCATCCCTAAAAATGATGATTACCAAAGTCCTTCGTTTACAGCTCTTATATGTTAAATCAATCCTCATGTTGCAGCTCTGTGGGTTGATGTTCCAATTTGATTTTCATAAGATTTGTTTCAACGCTGCGCTGGAAAATGTGCGCCGGCACTTGCTGACTCGGGCCCGGTCATTAGATCATTCATATCTTGACCTTGGAAAAAATCTTCAAAACGCGGACTTTTATTGGTGGATTTCTGCAGTAAACCATTAGCTATGGCCTCAAAATCTATGCCGGGTGGTAAACTATCTAGAAATCTTTTGTTATAGGCATAGTTAGGATGTTCTTTTCATTTTCATTTGGGAATAGGGAGAAGCAGAGCCAGTGGATTTTTGTGAGTCTCCAGCCGCTGAGCCGCGTGATTGATTGCTATATTGACGCTCCCTTTCACGTTCCCGTTCTCTTTCTCTTTCACGCTCTCTATCACGATTTCTTTCGCGTTCTCTTTCTCGTTCACGATCTCTTTCACGCTCGCGTTCACGTTCGCGTTCTCTTGAAAATGCTGCTGCTGTATTAGAGTGCATTTGACTGTTGCGCGAACCTCCTGTAGGTATAACATTTAGTCCTGGTAAGCCCATAAGACCCAAAGCACTAAGATCTGGTAAATTTTCTGAACCACGACGATCAGCATGTTGTTTAGAACTAACACCTGATATTTGTTCTTCGATTTCGGAACGTTGTACATACGAAGGCGATTTATACATGTTCATCGATTGTGATATGGGAGACTGTTGTTGTTGTGACATTATTTGACGCCTTAAGTTTTCAGTCATGGTTGAAAGTGGACTGGTGGACTCTTGAGCCATGCCAGAGCTTTGTGCAGCCAGTTTGGCAGCATTATGGAAACCATTAGAAACACTAGCTGAACTTCCAGGCGAAGAGCCAAATATGGCCTAGAATAAAAAAAATAACATAAAGAAAAAAGTATTTTTAGTTTAGCTCCTGCATGTTAATTTTTATTAGCTCTTAATTCCTAAAAAAACAAAAACTTCCACCTACCACATGTGGTTGTCCATTGGCAAACGGCAAAACCGCCCATTTCATCCTTAATTTCACGATAATCCCTAAACAACCACCGCCTTTATAACCGAACGTATTAAATCTTCCGGCCACATGCCCAACAATATACGCTGCGGTCGCCCTCTAGCCTTAGGTCTGGGATCCGAACCACCATCTAACGAAGGACCCAACATATTATGCACACGATTTGCATACAAAACAAATGTCGGATATGGAATATCAAATTTTCTAGCGGCCTGTGACAAAGATAAACCCTCCTTCAATACACTGAAAATGGCTTCTGCCATAGCTTCGGGACGCCACGATTTTAATGGTCCGCGCTCACGAAATCTCAATTGTTGCACCAGATTTTGCTGATTAGTATTCCAACATTTCTGCCACATGGACTGCAATTGATATTGATAGCTGTCTGTTGTGGTAAAGCAAAAAAAAAACAAAAAGAGGAAGAAAAACAAAAGGAAACGGAAATTGACGAGAAACGTTTAGAAAAATGGCATAAAGGATAAGAAAGTCAATCACGGTAATACAAACAAGTTGTCTGGCTTGTTATAACTTGTTGTATTTATATAAAGACAAATGCAAATTAATACTTACCAGTTACCGATGAGGTTGAGGCACCACCCATCCAAGGATGTCCGCTTTCAATCATTTTTGCCTGCAAAAAACCATAAAGAAAAATATATTTACATTAAATAAATGTCTTAATTTAAATAAGCTGTAAGTAGTTATAAATAAACCTATGAGACATACAATGTTTTAAAAAAAAATTCTAAAAATGTAAATTTAGTTTAATATTAAGCAATAAATTGTTGTGGTTGTAAACAATGTTTATGTAAAAAATTGAGGTAAAGCGATTTTTTAATAGACATTTTCTGGGGTAAACATTTTTAATATAAAAACCTTTGTTTCGGAATAAAGTTTAGAATATACAGATTGCTCGTTTAAAATTCATTCGTGAGCAAGTTAATTGGATACCAATCAGCCATTTCCAAGAAAACTTTAAATGTATTTCTCTATCTAAAGAAAGCTTTTAATGTTGTTTCTTACGAAGTAAAGTAAACTTTCAATAAAATCGCTATTTAAAGAAAAGTTCCAATGAATTTCTCTATTGAAAGAAAGCTTTCGAAGAAAACCCTATAAATAAAGCTTTCTATGCTTTTCTAAAGAAAAGAAAGCTTTTAATAAATTCTCTTTATAAAAACAATTTTGAATTTTCTATATTTAAAGAAAATTCTCTATTAAATGTATACTTTCTATCGATTATCCATTCAAAGAAAACTTTCAAAAAAATATTTATTAAAATTACTTTTAAAATTTCTTATTTGAAGAAAACATTAAAGAAATTTACCTAAAGAAAGCTTTGTTTAAAGAAAACTTTCATTGAATTTTTCTATTTAAAGAAAGTTTTTAGTGAATTATCTATAAGAAATATACCATGTATAGAAAGCTTTCTATGAAATCTCTATATAAAGAAAATTTTTAAAGGATTTCTCTAACAAAAGAAAGCTTTCAATAAAATATCTTAAAAAAACTTTCGATATAAAGAAAGCTTTCAATAAAATCTATATTAAAAGCAAATATTTGGTATGTTAAAAACTTTTGACAATTTTTTTAAAGAGAATTTTAGATGAATCCATATAAAGAAAGCTTTTTTAAAGAAAACTTTCTTGTGGCATTCTGCTTAAAGAAAGCTTTTAGTGAATTATCTATAAAAACATTCGCTGTAAAGAAAACTTTCAATGAAATCTCTATATAAAGAAAATGTTTAACGTATTTCTTTAACAAAAGAAAGTTTTCAATAAAATATCTTAAAAATAAAACTTTCGATGTAAAGAAAGCTTTCAATAAAAACTATATTTAAAGCAAATATTTGGTATATTAAAAACTTTTGACAATTTATGTAAAGAAAACTTTCGATGAATCCGTATTAAAAAAGCTTTTTTAAACAAAGCTTTCATTTCATTTTTTCTGTTTAAAGAAAGCTTTTATCTATAAAAATATTCGATGTAAAGAAAGATTTTAATTAAATCTCTATATAAATAAAATGTTTAAGGGATTTCTTTATAAAAAGAAAGCTTTCAATAATATATCTTTCAATAAAATCTATATTTAAAGAAAATATTCCGTATGTTAAAACTTTTGACAATTTATTTAAAGAAAACTTTAGATGAATCCATATAAAGAAAGCTTTTTTTAACAAAACTTAAATTTTTCAGTTTCAAAATGATAAAGAAAATGTTTAAGGTAGGGTTCTATAAATCCACTTTCGAATAGTCGAACAATCGACTTTTTGTCGAAAAAAATCGAAGTCGACTATTTTGTTCCAAAAAAGTTGATAATTCGACTTTGTAAATAAAAGTCGAAAAAAGTCGAAAAGACGTAAAAAGTCGAAAAGTTGAAAAATGTCGAAAAAAGTCGAAATAGTCGAAAAAATTTGAAAACTCGAAAATAGTAGAAAAAAGTCAAAAATATTCGAAAATTTAAAAAAAAATGGAAAAAAAAGTCAAAAACTCTAAAATAGTCGGAAAAACTCGAAAAAAAGTCAAAAAATAGTCGAAAATAGTCAAAAAGTCGAAAAAATCGAAAAGTCGGAAAGTCGACTTTTCGTTTCAACTATAGAACCCTAGTTTAAGGTATTATTTCTCTAATAAAAGAAAGCTTTCAATAAAATATATTAACAAACTTTTTATTTAAAGAAAACTTTCGATGAATCCATATAAAGAAAGCTTTTTTAAAGTAAACTTTCATTGAATTTTTCCGTTTGAAGAATGTTTTTAGTGAATTATTTCCTTCGTTGTAAAGAACACTTCAATGAAATCTCTATATAGAGAAAATGTTTAAGGGATTTCTCAATTTTGAGCAAACTTTTCATGGAATCTATCATTAAAGAAAGCTTTTGATGAATTCTTCAAGCGAAGAAAACTTTAAATGGAATTTCTATTTAAGGAAGCTGCTCAATTTAAGAAACACAAATTTTAGAAATATAATTGTTTAAAGAAACTGAAATCTCTACTTAAAGAAAGCTTTCAGTGAAATCTTCATTTACAGAAAACTTTCGATGAATTCCGTTATTTGAAGAAATTTTGTATTTTAAGAACACTGGCTATGAATTCTTAATTGTAAGCAAACTTTTGATGGATTCCCTCTTTAAAGAAAGCTTTGAAGAAGACTAAAATCTCTACTTAAAGAAAATAACCCATGAGTTATGGATTTAAAGCAAACTTGCAATATATTTATTTATAAAGAAAACTTTCGGAAAGTGTATCTATATATGAAAAGCTTTCGTAGTATTCTCTTTTAAAGAAAGCTTTCAATAAAGCTTTCATTCATGAATTTCTGAATCAGGAAAACTAAAACCCCCAATGGCAATATTACAAATCTACTTAAACTTAAATAACACTAAAACTTTTATTACATTCCCTAAACATAGGACCCTGTTACTGCGAAAAACAAAAACTATAAAAAGCAAACGAAATTATGCACTCTACCAATACTAAATTGCAGCTGCATGACATTTTAAAATGTTGTCGGCAAAAATTCATCAACAAAGTATTTTACAATTTTATTTTAGCACCATCTATGCCATCACACTATAACGCCATCTTTAGTTATAATATTGGTGCTGTTGCTGTTGTTGTTGTTATAGCTATAGCTACTGTTGCTTTTGCTGCTGTTGGGTTTTAGCAACAACAACAACAGCAAGCAAGCAAAACAACCAACCCATGTTCAAATAGCAGTCATCAAGCCAAGCCCCCTTCTACAGCAATAAATTTACTCTCGTAAACTATTTGTGCTTGGTGTTGGCGTTGATGGCTGGATGGTTGGATGGCTAACTGACTGCCTGGTGTGGTGCTAAAGATGATGATGATGATGATTATTATGATGACGA